GGCATGTTGTAAATTGGTAAACACACAATCATGTTCCTCAAAATTCAAATCGGTGCTGTTCGTGGCAGCAGGCTGCGGACATCGCGAGTGGTCGAAAGCGCACGCTGGATGCGTACACTACAGCAGGCTTTGCTGCGCGTGGCACTCGCTCTCGTTGTTGCCTACTGTAAGCAAGGGAAGGGGAGTAACATATTTGGAAGTCTGCAACGAGTGCCACCTCTTGTGAGAGGTTGCTGGTGTCCAAACCTTGATTTTTTTTTTATTTCGCAACGGCTTTTTTTTTCGTCTTCCACAAACAAACCGCGTCCGTCATGCTGCTGCTGCTGCTGCTGCTGCTGCTGCTTCTGCCGCGGCAGCGGCGACAGCGGCGACGGCGGCCAGCATCTGTACGTGAGGGTACTACTTGCAGCTCTCGAAAGTTCTGAAAACTACACCGTATCGCGATAATATTGTTTTCCCCCATGTAGCATTTTCCATATTTTTCGGTTCAAGGTGCACCGGGTGCAACGAGCTGAGCTGACACAACACTGTCACGTACAAGCCTGCGCGTGTCATGTGCTGGCTTGCCGGTCCCGATATTGTACTCACCGATGCTACAAGCGCTGTTTGAACGCACCATTCACACCTTAATGCACTCCTCAACTGCTGTCTATTTAAACCTCTATGCCTACTGCTGTGCGGGCGCAGCTCCCCGTGGGGCCTTACAGATGCTCGTCACAAGTGTAATCAGTCGACCAATTTTCCACATACATGCACGTGCTTCGCGATCATCCCATATTGGCAGCACCGGACCCAGGCAACACTACAGCAGTAGTTATCGCTTTGTTTTAGTAATTCATCCTTGTGTATTCTCTGCATATACTGCTGCCGTGATGCGTTGCTGCGGGCCGATCACACTCCCTGCACGAATACAAAGCCCCTGTAGGCGCTCTCACAAGTGTAATCAGTCGACCAAATTTCCACATGCACGTGGTTCGTCATCATCACATATTGACAGTACCGGACCCAGGCGATACTACAGCAGTAGATATGGTTTTGTTTTAGTACTTTATCTTCGTGTGCGTTCTGCATAAACTCTGCTACAGTACAATAGTGCCCTGCTGCGAGCCAAAAACACTCCCTGCACGAATACAAATACAGTCGACATCTGTGCTCGCGATCCCCTTCAACTGATCCAAACATCCATGCACCACGCCGCGTGTTACTTCATCTGCTTATACCTTGAAAAATTACCGGCTGCACTGCCAATACGCGCATCAACATATACCGGGGGCGGGATCAGATAGGGCTCGCTGTGCTTTGCATTGATCTTTTCCTGTCAAACTTTGCTGCTGCTGTCGTATGAAAATGTTTCACATGAACTGACGCCTCGACCCGAAATCCCAATTTCACACAGGAAAATCGCGCAACAGCCTCGGCAAGCTAAACGCCGTGGAGGAAAGGAATTTCAAGCGACAGCGGCTGGCCGGTTCGGACGCGACCCGCGCAAGCTTCACGCTAGAGTCGACGCTTTCCAGGCGCGAGAGACGTTCGGCGGCCCGGGNTGTGCTCGCGATCCCCTTCAACTGATCCAAACATCCATGCACCACGCCGCGTGTTACTTCATCTGCTTATACCTTGAAAAATTACCGGCTGCACTGCCAATACGCGCATCAACATATACCGGGGGCGGGATCAGATAGGGCTCGCTGTGCTTTGCATTGATCTTTTCCTGTCAAACTTTGTGCTGCTGTCATATGAAAATGTTTCACACGCACTGACGCCTCGACCCGAAATCCCAATTTCACACAGGAAAATCGCGCAACAGCCTCAGAAGAGGGGGGGGTACATGGTGCTGTAGAGAGTTACATGTATATGTTGTTGAAGATTGTATTGTTGTATATTTTACGCAGCGTGGGTGTTGTTGTTGGCTTTGTATTACAGGTTAAGCATGGGTGTGGTTGTGTGCAAAATATCGTGCGGTGATGCCGTAAAAGTCTGCTTTTTTTCCGGTCGAGTTGAGACATATTTGTTCGAGTTTGTGCACGCGCATGTTGGCGTCGTGAGCTTTTAATACATGTTTCACATCATCACGACCAGTGGGTACAACTCATGTACGTCATGGGCTGGTAGGCAGCGCCAGTGTGGCTCCTGCCAACTACACCGCTTTCGCACACGTCCCTAGACCCCTCATTGTCCTATATTAATGGTGTGCCCCTGCACCCAGGTTCTGAGGCCAGAACGAAATTCTGGATTTCCCGCGCGGTTTTTTCGAATGAGAACCTGAAATTTTGAGACGGCATCTGCATGAGTACAAAAAAAAATTACCACTGTGCCATGTGGATTTTTTTTTTAGTCACTTTGTCCCAAAACAAGTATTCCCATATTTACAACAATAGGGGCAATAGGGGTAACTCATCAAAAAAAAAAAAAATCAAATGGCGCAGTGGTAATTTTTTTTGTTTTACTCATGCAGATGCCGTCTCAAAATTTCAGGTACTGATTCGAAAAAAACGCGCGGGAAATCCGGTCCAACCGTGAAATACGCGTCTTGGCTGGACCAGCTTGTAGGGCAGAAGCGAAAGGCATCATCGTCTTCAACAGCATCAGGCAAGAAAAAGGGGAGGGCAGCATCCAACCCGCCGGCAGGGACTTACAACATCATCAATGCCTTCGCTAAAGGCAGTGGCAAACCGGTGCGTAGAATACGTTTGTGTGTGCCGACGAGAGGGTCTCGCGCGATACTTGAAAATGTATATTCAGCGCCACCGAGATGCGGACAGACCAGTTTTTATTCGTCAATTTGTTTTTTGTTTTTTTTTCTTGGTATCACACAACAAATCCATCTCTATCTATAGAAATACGTCTAAGATAGATTAGCAATGAATCCATAGCGTGAGCGAAAGGCTACCTGTATGTCTACGGTTTCCCAGACAGCATACAACGATAACTCCCCTGTGGGTAACAGGCTCAACAAGGCAGTTTGGTAGCCATCTTGTGTATCAATCTGTATGTTATGTTGGGAAGTTGTAGACGGAAGACTTAGGGGAACTCGGTTTGCCGGGTGTTCCATTATAGCACCCTTATGTGGTTGCGAAGCAAGCGCGTTTCGGGTTGTGTATAGTTTCGTCTTCAACTTATTTTTGTTTGTGATGTATGGGGGCATGGCGGCGCGGGAGAACATATTTACCTTGTGCGTGTCTGTGTGTTTTCGTCCTGTATGTAATGGCATATCGTTCAACGTGAGAAGGGCACGGGAGCACATTATCTCATCGTTGCCTCCTGACGTGGCCGCCGATAGAGGCGTGTGGTTGGGGTGTCATCACTGACATGTGGGTGTGTGTTAAATGCAGTGGGTATGGTCGCCTCTCTCGCCCGTGTGTCGGCAGAAGGTA